GGTTAAGTACTTAATTCATTCCGGAGGTCCGTTCTTAACCTGAAGCACCACTTTAGCTAATGGGGCCTCCTGCTGCCGCCACACGATTTCTGTTCTCATCCTGAGGTAAAGTTCTTAACCTGAGGTACTATATCTGGGTTAGCAGAGTCTGTAACCTGAAGTGTATGTAACCTGAAGCACATGTAACCCGAGGTACCACTGTATATATATTCCAAGAAAGAGTCATTTGTGGTTACTGAATTACTTCATTTTTTCTTCTTCTCCGGAGGTGGGGCAGGGGTGCTGGTACAGTGGTACCTTAGGTTACATACGCTTCAGGTTACAGATTCCGCTAACCCAGAAATAGTGCTTCAGGTTAAGAACTTTGCTTCAGGATGAGAACAGAAATCGTGCTCCGGCGGCGCGGCAGCAGCGGGAGGCCCCCATTAGCTAAAGTGGTGCTTCAGGTTAAGAACAGTTTCAGGTTAAGAACAGACCTCCGTAAGGAATTACCGGTAAGTACTTAACCCGAGGTACCACTGTACTGTAGTAACAAATCTCTCTCCCCTCCCCCCCCCTGTGTGGTAACCAGGCAGAAGATTGTCCTCTCAAAAATGCCTAAGTATTTCTGAACTGAATGTTACCATGCTGCTACTATTACAAATCCTGTTCTGGAGAGTATGCATTTAAATAGGCTTTAAAGAGGGTGAAGATCTAGCAATACAACTGTACTGTCACGAAAGAGGGAGTTGCAAGATTGTCACGATAAGCCTTAAAGGAGAAAGAGCCGCTGTCGTCTCTTCAGTAGGGCTCCTCCTCTCCTGCAGCCTTTTCCAATGCTAACCTTGAATGCTGGCATGAATTGTGCTTTCAGTGTTATCTGCATTGTTATCAGTGTTTTTCTGCATGGAACGCCTGTTTGCTTGATATGAGGTAAACATAAATTATTAGCTGGGCACACACACACCCAGAAGGTGTTTATTTGGAAGCCGTGAGAAGTCATGGAAGCTGTGGTGCTACATTTGTCCTGCTGTTAGGATCTTGGATGGGTGAATAGGGCTATGTTTGAGGGGTCATTATTACAAAGCTTTTCTGTCCGTACAAGTTCAGTGCCATTTCTCATAACCCAACTGGGATTGTTGCTTTCATGAGTCTGGACTTGAGCCATGCCGATAGCAAACAGGTTGTGAGATTACGCCACTATGGTGAACAAGTGCAAACTTGCTGATAACACTTTGTTTTGTTAAATTCATCTCCTGCCCTTCTCCTTTCTGAAGACTTGAGAAGTAACAATTTCACAGGGGAAACTATAATATAGAATATTAAATTAATTTAGCAGTTACCTAGAAATGAGAGAGGCAGTGTCAGGCTGGACAGACTTTAAGCTTGCAAGGTCTACATTGCTTTTACTTCAAACCATGAAGTCCACCCACTTAGAGCCAAACACTGACTTAAAGAAACAGCCAGCATGTACTTTGAATTAAGGAGCAAGGCACCTTGGGGTCATTTCAGCCCAGGATTTTCTTTTCATTACCAGAACTGAGCTCACAGGCCTTTACTCAAATCTCCATTCCCAGTCCCATCCCCCCTAGCTTTCTCCATTTCAGTAGCCTAATTTGGTGATGGTATTGCTTTTGTTAACCAATGGGGAGCCAGAAATCCTTTGTGATCTACTGCAAATTACCCAGAGATCTACCAGTAGATCCCGTTTTACCTTTACCACTCCAGAGAGCCTCTGTCAATCAATGTGCTGAGCTAGATGGACCGAATGCTCTGACTTAGTAGGCAGCTTCCTATGAGAGCCAGTGTGGTGTAGTGGTTAAGAGCGGTGGACTCGTAATCTGGTGAACCGGGTTCGCTTCCCCGCTCCTCCACCTGCAGCTGCTGGGTGACCTTGGGCTAGTCACACTTCTCTGCAGTCTCTCAGCCCCACTCACCTCACAGAGTGTTTGTTGTGGGAGAGGAAGGGAAAGGAGGTTGTGAGCCGCTTTGAGACTCCTTAGGGTAGTGATAAAGTGGGATATCAAATCCAAACTCTTCTTCTTCTCTTCTTATGTGAGTAGTGGATAGAACATCAAATTCCACTTGGCCATGAGGTTTGCTCTCTTTTTGCCTTACCTACATCCACTATACAGTTGTTGGGGCTAAAATGTGAGACCCCTCTAAAATGTGGTCAATTAATCTCTGTTTAACCCTAGTAAGCTGAGTACCAGGTCAGTCTCATAGCATTTATGAAAGCTATTCTGGCTTGGAATTTGCTAGACATACATAATTTTTAGAACAGTTTTCTCTACACTTTTGGAAGCAAGGCAATCCCCTAATATACTTCTGAAATACTTGCTCATGAGAAACTTTTCTTGAATGAGCATCACATTTTAATTTTCCTTTCTTACAATTTGGCTTTTATGTTTCTATAGTAATCAAGAGCTGCTTTTTTGTGTGTGCAGACGGCCCTAGCTGGTTTTCCTGAAGGGTTAATTAAAATAAGAGAAACGTGTGGTTTCAGCCATGTCCTATATCCTCCTTAAATTGGCAAGGACACTTTTTAGTTTCGTTGATTTAATGATTTAAGAATCCTGTAATTCTTGCCAAGTTTGTGAACAACTTCATTATATTTGAAAGTCAGAGCAGATTACAATTTAGAAACTCTGAAAACAAACTGACAATACATTATTGCAGAAACCATTTACTTATTAAAACAGCTATAAGAATAAGGTATATTTAAGAGCACCTTCAGGTATCTTTTACTCCCTTGTATTGCATTAAAAAAAAGCATGAATGACATGAAAATTAGGGAACTCCCAAAATACAGCAGCATTCTCCTGTCCCAATCTTTTAAAAACAAAAAACAGGCTTTTTCTTGTATTTCCTCTTATCAGTCTCCACAGGCCTTCTTGCTTATTACTTTGGTTCCAAGAATAATATCCCAGAATGAAACTGAGAACTCAGCATCCTTTCTCTCCCGCTTCACTTCCTACGGAGAGGTTTACTAGCTACCTTCTAATCTAGAAGATGCCATGTTTTATTTTGAATATGGGATCTCGTCAAGTACACAACTAATCCTAAATCAAGGACTTCAGGGAGGTACCACTCCACATAAGATCATTTATTGCGCTCCTCAGGAGGAGTAACGCTTTTACACACATATATAAATATAGTATTAAGAAGCACAGCTTTATCAGATGTTCAGTATTTGTATTGAGTGAGATCCAAATTGCCTCCAATATCTTCCTCCTCTTCTATAGGACTAAACCCTTTTTATAGAGGTTAGGTACCACTTCTAACCTATCACTTACTGAGAGGAAATGAGTCCTTATCAGTTTCCTATACAGTGGTACCTTGGTTGAAGAACAGTCCTGTTTATGAACGATTCGGTTTTCAAATTCAGCAAAACTGGAAGTAGTGTCTTGGTTTTCAAACTTTACCTCGGTCTAAGAACGGAATCTGAACGTTGGAAGGGCACCGGCAGCGGGAGGCCTCTTTAGGGAAAGCACACCTCGGTTTAAGAACAGTTTCAGTTTAAGAACAGACTTCCAGAACAGATTAAGTTCGTAAACCAAGGTGCCACTGTATTAGTACAGTGGTACCTTGGTTGTCGAACAGAATCTGTTCCGCAAGACTGTTCAGCTTCCAAAACGTTCGACAACTGCAAAGGGCAGTTGGCAAAGTTGATGGAGAAAAAGGAAGAAAACGCAGTGGAAGCCATTCAACTTCCGAGGCGCATTCGAAAATGGAAGCAATTACTTCCGGGTTTTCGGCGTTAAGGGGTTCCAAGATGCTCAAAAACCGAGATACCACTGTATAACTGTAGCTCAGCAGCCAACCAGCTCCCTAACAGGCTGATTTCAAGTACAGTGCTAGCTTTGTTGTGCTTCATGTTACCTAATTTTGTGCAAAGGAGGGGTCTGTGTGTGGCCTGCCCGTAAGAAAGCAATAGGTCAGAGCAGGTCAAGTGATATTTTCAGGCTCCTACAGAACCTTCTGGGTTAGAGTTGTTCGGTGGATCACAAACCATGGCGGGAGACAAAAATGGGGTCACCTGTGAACTTCAGGAAGAAGTCAAGGCCTTTAATAAGGAAAATAAGCTTCTTATTGACATTTTTGAAAATCATAAATATTTTCTGAAGCTGATCTCTCTTCACACACACTCCATATCCCATAAATGAGATTGGGATCTGGTAGAATCATCTGGCTGATACATTTTTGGCATTGCTGGGACATACCAAAATTTAGGTGGTTTATAAGCAAGGTTCTGGAGCTGAGTGGTTGCAGACCAGACAAGGTTTAGGCTTGGTTTGGGCACAGAAACTTCTTGGTCACCCTGTACGACGACCTCCATCAAGAGAGAGACAAGGGAAACATGTCCCTGTTAATTCTTCTTTGACCTCTCAGTGGCTTTCGATATCCTTCTGGAGCGACTGTCCAGCTAGTGCAGAATTCAGCGGCCAGGTCACAGAAGCAAGATGGTTTGAGCATATTACACCGATCCTAGTCCAACTGCACTGGCTACCTATTAGTTTCCGGGCCCATTTCAATTTACTGGTTTTGACCTATAAAGCCTTAAGTGGGTCAGGACCACAATCCCTGAAGGACTGCCTTTTTCCATACAAACCTATCTGGACCCTGAGATCATCTTCTGAGGCCCTTCTTTTGTGTGTCTCCTCCTCAAGAGGTCCAGAGGGTGGCAACACGAGAACAGGCGTTGGAAAGCCGTGAAATTCCTTACAATGATAGGGACTTGGTGCATATGCTGTCAGCCTCCCCAAGGTTTCAAGAGAGGTCTGTGTGGAATGCAAAACAAGCAAGACCCTGGAAAATGCATGCTTCTTTTGGGTTGAACCAGCTGATTTATAATTTTAAGCTAAACTGAACAGAAAAACATGGTGGATGAAACGTTTGAGAGAACTTTGCCACCCTCATGTCCACATTACTGCTTGTGAAGGGCCAGGCCTATAATGAATAGTAAATGTTAACCAGCTTTTATTGTCTGTGCTTAATAGCCCTTCTTTTTTTTACATTAGGGTGGAGAAGCAACATTTAACCGGGCAAAGCTTCTGAACATAGGCTTCACAGAAGCTTTGAAAGAATACGATTATGACTGCTTTGTATTCAGCGACGTTGACCTAATTCCTATGGATGACAGAAATATATACAAGTGTTACAGTCAGCCCAGGCACCTCTCTGTGTCGATGGATAAATTTGGATTCCGGTAAGAAATCAATTGCTAACATTTATTCGGCGCTAGCAAAAAAATCACATAATAATAGCATGGCTGTTAATATCAAGAGTGGATTAATGTTCGGAACCTGTATCCATGTTGGCTTGCTCACTCTACACTTGGATTACTTATGTTCCAAAGTAGCCTACTTCGCTCTTCTCTGGAATTGCTCTACTCTCAAATCTGTGATCTGTTTGCCTAAAGTTTTTTTTTATTTGTTTCTCTAGATACTTTAATTACTGTTCTTCAGCCAAGAGGCTCTCAGAACAGTTTATATAAAAAATAATGATGCGTTTTTAAAACAACAACAACAGTAAAACCATTTGCCTTGTGGGAAGCAAGGTCTGAGGTCCATTTTAGATGTAATGGGGAAGCCTTGTTTCCCATAATATGGATGAGCTGCTGTTTTCCTTCACTCACTTCTCCTCTGGCACTTGACAGAGAAGAGGGAAAGGGGGTAAAGGCAAGATCATCACGGCCTGAACATGTAACAGGAAATTATGGTTTATTGTTGTGGCTGAATTAGGCCTGGAAATGCTTGCAGGTTATGTGTGCAACTTCATTAGGAACAAGTTTTGGAGATATCAAATGGGCTGTTGCTATATTGGTGGGAAGATATTGCCTGAAAAGTGAAGTCTTGAGGTGTGTAATGTGCTAAGTACAAAAAAAAAGAATTCTGATAACTATGCAGTTATTACGTTCTGCTGTATTTCTGATAGGGCAGAGAATGAAAACCAGTTGCCTTCATTTAGTGCAATAACGGTCCAACTTACCTGCGGTGGGGGGTTTAAGTGAATTCTGAGCTTACTACATCCTGATCTTTAGAAACATAGATTATTCTCTTTAAGGCAATCAGGATTTTGTGTGTGTGTTGAAGCACATATTTCTATGGCATTTATTGATGTTACATTTTATAATTGCTTTAATGGAAACCACCCAGGGTGGCTGGGACAACCCAGTCAGATGGGCAGGGTACAAATAATAAAATTGCTGTTGTTGTTACTGTTCTTACTAATGCAATTATTAATACTTTTACTTACAATCGCAACTAGATGAGCAATCCTAACGTCTTGGTGATAGCAAAAACTACTTTTTTTGATGAGTTGCCTTCCTCTCTTTCAGCTTGCCTTACAATCAGTATTTTGGAGGAGTGTCTGCTTTGAGCAAGGAGCAGTTCCAAAAAATCAATGGCTTTCCCAATAATTATTGGGGCTGGGGTGGTGAAGATGATGACATTTATAACAGGTAAGGCTCCTGTGTCTCCCAATTAATATAGATTTCTTTCACTGTTTAGAGAAGGAGGAGGAGAGAGGGATTGCTCGTCTGGCAAACCGAAATGTTTGAATAAGCAGGACATTCGTCATAGTGTGACACTGAATCCCATTCCTTGTGTGCACTTACTATAGGAGGCGCTTCTTAACATCCCATAGTTGACCAAGAAAGTGGCTGCTTAGAAGCATGTGCCAGGAAGTGGTGAAAGAAATACCCGCTGGCTATGTAACCTGTCCCCAGCTGCCACACCTGCCTTCCTGGCTGTGACATTAGCAAATAGCTTAACTTGTTTGTATTTCAGCTTGAACTGCAGACATTAGCTTGCCAGTGGCTTGTATCCAAAGAGGGCCAGGGAATGGAGCTCCTCCATTGTTTCCCTTTTCTTCCTGGCTCGCTGTCAAACGGAGCTGGCAGAAAGCAGAAGATCCTGGGACAGTCTGGTGCTCTACGCTGCGCTGGGGTCACTGTTCTCCTTGTCTCTTTAGCGCCCCTCACTAAGCTGCGGAGCAAACGAGTCTGTCTTCCCACTGTCAGGGTCAAGCCTTTGGCAGCCAAGTGTTTCCATTCAGGCTCTTTGAAAGCTTGCTTCCTCTTCACTAGTACTGTAGGGAAGTATGAAGCTAGTCTTTGGAAGTTTCAGGAAGTCTGCAGGATGTTCATGTCTTCGGAAGAGTAGAAAAAGTGGGGAGTATGGATTGCAGGCACAACAGTACGGGAATTTATTTATTTTTTTAAGATATACTTTTTTATTAGGTTTTTTTTAACATATCATTTTCAACAGTAATTAAACATACTTTTACATCTTATTCAAATTTTTGACTTCCATCCATCCTGTCTGAAAATTTTCCAATCTAATCTCTCAGTATGCATTTCTTATTTTCCCTATTACATTTCAAACTCATAACCAATATCTCTATCTTTTTCTACTTTGTAACACTTCGTATATTTCTCCTTACAAAACTTCTTGTAGTCCTACTAGCGTAATTTGTTGCTCTTCAAATAATTACAGTTGCTCTTCAAATAATTCATATACTTCTTCCAATCTTCTGTAAATCTCTGGTCCCGCAGGTTTCGAATCCTTCCTGTCATTTTGTCCAATTCTGCATAGCCCATTAATTTCGTCTGCCATTCTTCTTTCGTCGGAATTTCTTCTTGTTTCCATTTCTGGGCTAACAATACTCTTGCCGCAACAGTATGGGGATTTAAGATGCCTAAGTCTTAAATGCTTTTTTTAAAAAATGTAGATGGTGTTTTAAGAATACTGTCAAAGGAAATGAATTCACTGTTTCGTTTTCTCAAAATAAAAGTTACTGGGGCTCTGGGAACCCTGGCCAGACTTCCTTCTCTTTTAATTCTAAGTGTGCTGAGCACAGGATGTTGGAACTGTCAGAAGCCAAAGGAACTCTGAGCATGCTCAGAAGTATCCTTCTTGTATATTTTCATTTCATTTAAAGAACGGGCGTTCCAGTAATGGCAGAGGGCCGTGATGCTAAACGTTAAGCCAAATGTTAACTCTGTTAAAAGTTAAAAGCAGAGTTGCAAGACCAAGAGTACCTCCTTTCCCCTTTCCACTGTTGCTCAGAAACCTGCTTTTCAGCCCTCAAGCCCTTTATTGCTAGGCTGAAGACATGTTTTCAGCTACTTCTTATTTCAGTGCTCCTTAAGGGGAGCCGTTCTTGACATGAGAAGGTAAACGGCTCCTGACAATTATTTATTTAGTTAGTGCCACTTCTACCCCCCTCACGCCCATAGCTGAAAAACACAATGGAAGCACAAAAGTTGGGGAGTTGGGAAAAGTCGTCCAACAAAACTAAAAGTCAAATGAAATGGGTTGTACGGACTAAAAGCCAGGCTGAACTGTAAGAGTTGGGGGGCAGGCATGGAGGCAACCCAGAGCAAAAGCATCCCGACTCTTGCTTAAAGGAAGAGAGCCCCCAATTCCTTTTGGAAACGGTTCCATAGTTGAACTGTTTTTACCACTTCCTAAACTGCAGTACACAAACTAAACACAGTGCCCCGGACGGTGACTGTGTACACACATCCGAAGCACACTTTGCCTCTCAAAGAATTCTGGGCAGTGTGTTTTGTGAAGGGTTGCTGGAAACTGTGACTCTCTGAGGAGTAAACTACAGTACCCAGAATTCTTTGAGGGGGGAGTACAGTGGTACCTCTGGATGAGAACAGGATCCGTTCCGAAGCCTTGTTCGCATCCAGAAGCGAACGCAACCCACGTCTGCGCATGCGTGGGTCGCGATTCGGCGCTTCTGCGCATGCCGTCATTTTGACCGTCTGCGCATGCGCGATCGGCGAAACCCAGAAGTAACAGGCTCCGTTACTTCTGGGTCGCCGCAGTGCACAACCCGAAGATAGTTACCCCCGAGCTACTTCAACCCGAGGTATGACTGTACTTCAAATGTGTTTTAAAGGTATAGTGTCTACACAGGCAGTGTCTGACTAATTTGGAATAAACAGTAACTAATACTGCTTATGACTTGGAAACCACAGTTTTGTTAACGTGGCAGGAGCCTTTATTGTGTGAGCAGCAACATAACTCTATACCTACCAGAAGGAGATGATAGCCACAACATTTCTGCAACAGATATCAAGGCCCTACTTCCTAGGCACAACAATTCTCAACTTCATACAGAGTAGGAATATAAAGCAGGGCCTGGCTAGGGAGAGGCAGTTTCTGAAATCCATGGGGCCTGGTCTGGGAAGAGCTTTGAGAACATAAAGGACATAACATTATGGAGCAGGGGACAGGCAGAGAACAGTTTGTTGAACAAAATTTGTTGTGGAAGCCTTCCAAGAGTCCTGGCACTTAATCTGTATTTCCTAATGCTGCAGCTGCCAAATATCTCTTGGATTACTAATTATGACTGGGGAAAGTTACATTAGAATTTGCATTTTTAAGAAGATATTGACTTCTTTCTGGATCAACCTTCAGCCCAATACAGTGAGGTAGTGCCATCAGAATTCACAGGGATTGAACCAGCATGTAGACAGAGTAAAAACTGATCTATATATCTCCTTTATATATCTATACAGTGGTACCAAGGGTTACATACGCTTCAGGTTACATTCGCTTCAGGTTACAGACTCTGCTAGCCCAGAAATAGTGCTTCAGGTTAAGAACTTTGCTTCGGGATGGGAACAGAAATCTGGCTCCGGTGGCGTGGCAGCAGCAGGAGGCCCCATTAGCTAAAGTGGTGCTTCAGGTTAAGAACAGTTTCAGGTTAAGTACGGACCTCCGGAACGAATTAAATACTTAACCCGAGGTACCACTGTATCTACTTGTGAAAGTGACTTACCTAGGGGTATTGCATAAATGACTCTGTTATAGATAATAATGAGATAAGTACTATAAACATAGCGAAATAAGTGATAACATTATTTCACTTTCATTTGATAAACTACTTTCAGCTGGACTGCTATGTTTTGTTCCATGGGCATCTTTAAAGCGGGGATGAGGAAACTGGCCTTCCATATTGTAATAATAATGGGGGTTGCTCGTGCGTAAGTTGCCGCCACTCCTGGCTAGGTTGCCTGGTTAAACCTTTCCTGTCTGGACAGCCCTTCACTTCGTGGCTGTTTCAGTCGCTAGCAGAATCCGTCAGTGGGCGTCTCTTAAACCTTTTCCAGCATGAAAGCTGTTTGACGCCAAGTCTCCTCCTACTCTCCCTGCGCGGAAGTCTTCTGCACAGGGAGGGTGTGGGTAGCAGAGGACCCGTGCTCTCCCCGCTGGTCTCCAGCGAGGAGTCCTGGAGCCCCCTCGCCGATTCCCCCATCTGCCCCCCTTTATCCCTGGTGTTACGCTGATTTCCTTCCCCAGCTGATGAGCTGCCCCTCTCCCTGCTGGGCCCTTCTCCAGCATCACTTGGGAGCCTAGCCTCCGCCTCTGGCTCTGATGTCAGTTCCCTGGCACATATGATGATGGACTTTATAGTACTCCTGACCATTAGCCATACTGGCTATACCAGAGGGTGTTCAACAACACCTGGAGGGCCACAGGCTTCCCATCCCACCCCTGCTTTAAAACATGCCTGTGCTTTTATGTAACAACAGCCTCTCTATTTGTGTGCCTTTTGCAGGATTGTTTTCAAAGGCATGAGAATCTCCCGCCCAGATGCTGCAATTGGGAAATGTCGGATGATTCGCCATTCGAGAGACAACAAAAATGAGCCCAACCCACAGAGGTAGGTCCTTCTTCATTGCATCCTGTACAAACATTTTCAAATGGTGGTATTGGGTGGCAGCCGGTGGTCTCTCTCATGCTGCTAGCGGGCTTTATGATCTAGCAAGGCTTCCTTCAGTGGGAGGTGATTTCCTCCAATTCCTCCCCCCCCCCTGCAAGCTCCCATACTGTTCCGGAAGTTCCTTCAAAGCAGACCTTGGAGGCTCACAGGGGGCAGGAATTCGCAAAAAAATAAAAATAAAAAAATTGCCTACCTTGATTTCTGAAAATGGTAGCCGTGACTGGGTGAAAGGAGATTTCCATCAGCACGAAGGACATCATTTTGCTGGCTCTCCTTTTCTTTAATTTAAATATCTAACAGTGAAGAGACTTGTATGGCCTGCTCATATTTAGAATTGGTTGCTGGGGTGAGCAAGACGGGGGCTGTCTTTTTACATCGGAAAGTGTGTACAGGTGAGGGGTACATAACCCTGCGATTCTCCATCCTCCTCTGCTCAGCAGTTCAAATATTTTCCTCTCTAGCCCAGCTCCACCTCAGCATCGGAGCTGAGCTTGGGAGAGAAAGATGCTTGAAGTGATAGTTCGCAAGGAAGTAATTGGGGGTGAGGGTTCTGTTGTCCACCTGCACACACCTTTTATGTAAGAAAGCGAAACTACTACACTTCTTTTAGATGTGAATGAAGCAGGCACACGGGTGGAAAAGTCTGCTCCCTACCATCGTGTTTACTCTGGCTTCTCAGCTCTAAGCCAGATGGAAAAGCAAGAGATTGTTTTATGCCCCTTTTCAGCCCAGAGTCCTAACTCTTCCTTGTGAAACTTGAAAGCTTGCGCCGCATCTTGAAACTATTAGCTGGTTCAATAAAATACGGTCTCCTAGATTTCTGTGTCATATCAGCACAAATGTTTATGTTAGGTTTGAGCATTCGGGACATAAAATATTTTGTTCTCTTCGTATTAGCCCGAATACCCTTTCAAGGAGGCAAAAGAAGGTTCTATTTGCAAATGGAGATTTCCCAACAGTGAATCTCTCTTGTTCTTGCAGGTTCAACAAAATTGCTCACACAAGGGAGACGATGAACTCTGATGGCTTAAACACTCTGAAATACACAGTAGAAAGAACTGAGAAATTCCCATTGTATACAAAAATCACAGTGGATATAGGATCACCAAAAAGCTAGCATGCCAGAGGTGCAACAGAAGACTTGGAGAACCCTAAACGGGGGCTGCTCATCCTATCAGAATTTTATCCCTGCTGTTTTATTACAATCAACATGAAAAAAAGGATGCCTTATTTTGCCATTCTGAGGCCTTTCAGTTGGATGGACAATTAAGAATTTTAATCTCAAAACTCTTGCTATGTGTTTAAAGTTTTAAAGTTTGGAACTGTTTGTAGGAGTTCATAAATATGTCAATTTTTCAGGGAATAGTAGTGACATATGGGCAAAATCCACTGGGAAGTTTTGCTGTGCTAGCCCCATAAGAAGGTCTGAAAGTTGCCTGAAGGCACCATCCATCCATTCATGTGGTTCCTCTGTGCCTCACTGGGGCTTGCGCAAGAGATTTGCATTGTGGACGGTGCCCATTGCTTACTGCAATGTTCTCCGCTATAAATAGCAGCAGCACAAACTTGGGAAATACTTCTGCTTTAAAATGGATGGTGTATTATGCAATTATGGGCCATTTCCCCCCATTCAATTTTAAAATTGGGTAATATTTATGAAAATTCAGTGCTGTGGTTACCGTATGAAGGACTGGAAAATGCTGCTAAAATTGTTTTTGAGTTTACCTCTTTTGATACAGCTCCCCATTCTTGCAGACAGGATTGTTCTTGTCTTCATAGCTATTGAAACACCTAAAAAGAAAAAAGAGGGAAGAGAAATAGGATTATCAAAAAAGGGGGGGCTTTGATTCTGTTCTGCTGGCAGAGGGAATTTTAATATCTTGGCTCTCTTTTTCCTGAAAAGTGTCTTTGCGTGACAAAAATATTTAGGCTCTGACTCTGAGAGCAAAGTTCTCAACCCAGTTATCTGTTTGACGTGGGTTTCTGTCCACCACAGGGAAAAAGCACAGTGAACTGGATCCGAATGGATCTTTCTAGCCTCCTTGAAGTTGATCTTGAAGTTCTCCTTCTGTCTTGGGGCAAACTGAATGGTTAGAGAGATCCCAATACGCATGCTATAGTCCGGAGATCATGCAGTGCTTTCTCCCTGCAGTGAGGGAAAGAGGTAGGGGGCAGAATGCAAGCCTGAGACTTGGGGCCAAACATATGAGTTGTGGCCCATGGACACACAAAAAGCATTCCACGTGCATTTTGCCCTGTTAAAAATTCACTTGCTTACCTGAGTCAGTCCATCTGTGTGTTGTGTTAGCATTCCTCTTGTGAGCACACTCAGCCTCTTCTTGATCACTGGCAAACTACTGCCACACTTGAATGAATGGGCCAGGTATTGCTCAAGGTAAGTGCTTCTCAAAGCCTGAGGAGCACTGCCTTGTGTATTGGAAGGTCAGGCAACATTCACTGTGCTTCCCAGTTTGCGGTATGGGCTTGCCTCTAGAAGCACGCAAAGTAGCAGTGTGTGCAGCGCAGCCAAAGATTTCGCAAGCCAACAAAGCCCATTTCCATTTGTAAGGCAGCGGCACCTATACAAATAGGTAGGATTTCAGGGAAGGCGCAGCAATAGATGGACTAAGGACCTGGGGTTCACTAAATAAACAGAAACTCTATGAAAGCACCTTATTAAGCAGCGAGTAGGAATTTGCCACTCTTTGGGGGGGCGGGGGGAGGTTGGCTGCACTATGCAGCTTGGGTCTAGGCTGCTTCTGTAGTCTGTAGCAGTGGATGAACCAATCACTTGTGGTGTAACTCCCTGGCTTGAGGTCAGTGGGCCTACAAAGCGTCATTGTCAATGATGCCTGTAAGTCCTTGACATTGGGGGGTTTGGAATGACTTGCATAAGTACCATTTCTTGATTGCCTTATGCGTGTATGCTGAATTTCATATTCCTTTTTTACTGTTACAATGCAATCTGTTTCTCACTGAGGAATGGCAAAAGGTCTGTAATTCTGGGTTCATAAGGTAGCCTCTCTTTTTTTAAAAAAAAAAATATTTTGTCAGATACGTTTACTATTCTAAGGACTAAATACTGTATAAATGTCAAACAAAAAAAATTATTTTCTTTCTTGCAATGTTGTATGTTAAAACGTGAAATTCGCTGTTTTTAATTTTTGCAACATGTTATTGAAAAGTTTGCAGGGGGTTGTATATAAAACCTAATAGCATGTTAACACCATCAATACAAGCTGCAGGCAAAGTCACATTTAAACCAGACTAAAAAGGGGGTTTGTGCACTTTGATTTGTATAAACCATCCTTGTGGTGCTGGTGTGCTCCTTAAAAAGGTGGCCTTTTTAGTATATTGCTTGAGGAGATAAAGACATCTCCTAAAATATTTTTGTGAATTCTCAAAATGTCCGTCTGGATGCCTTTGAAACTCAGGTCCTGTTTGGATGTTGTGTTTTCTCCCTGCTCTCTCTGTACTGTCTGTGTGGAGAGGTGACACGATTGCAGTGCTGTTAGGTTACAAAATTTAGAATCATAGGCTCAGATTCTGACATTCTGGAAGAAGTATCTAGTTCCCACTGGGTCCTGTGAATGCTTTTGAGCACGCCAGGACCCAGTGGCGTAGCGTGGGGGGTGCAGGGGGGGCCGGCCAGCATCTGGGGGTTAGGGTTACAGGGCGCAAATCCACGGGTTAGGGGGCGCAAATTACTTGCCTTGCCCCGGGTGCTGACAACCCACGCTATGCCACTGACAGGACCTTCTTAGGACTCCATAAATGAATGAGGATGGGCTTTAACTTTAGCTTTCTGCTGCACAGCCTCCTATTTCTGTGGAGGCACATAAGTCAATTCACCTCATTTTATGCCTTGTATATAGAAGCATAAACAAGGCAGAGACTTGCGAGACCTTATAAAGACCAACAATTTTTATTATGCCAATAAGCTTCTTGTGGAGAGCTTCATCGGATGCATGAAGTATAATTCTGAATTGGCAAGCAGTTTCCACGTTCCTCAGCAATCTCCCAGTATCTCCTCGGGCGACAGCAGCAGTCGCTGCTGGAATACTCACTGTTCCTCACGTCCAACCTAGTTTTAAAAGGATGGGGCCCTTAACCTGCTTTCCTGCCCTCTTGTAACCTTTGGACTTTTCCATTCCACTTCCTCAGCTGTGTTGCCAAAGGAAAGCTACCCACAAATCATCTAGTCTTGGACAAATTGAGATGGAGATCTGCTGCTGTCACTATAAGTTCTGCTGCTGCGGGAAGAAAATATGCTGGTGGAATTCTGTTCTGCAAAGCCAACTTGCCTGTGCTTGGAGACTGATCCTCTGCTCTGCAGTCATCTACCACGCTTCTCCAACTCATCCTCTTGCACTGAGGCTATTCAGCCATGTGAGGAACAGCAACCATTCTTTGCTGGCTGCGGCTGATGGGAGTTGTAGTCCAAAATAGCTGGAAGGAAAATATTATGGGCTTCTCTCCTCCCTCACCCCAAATCTCCATGGCTCCTCTCTCACTCTGTAAATCACAAAAAGAAGTGAATATCTAAACCAGGCAACCTTGCCTTTACTCAAGAGCAGGATCCCCCTGGTCATTTGAGAGAATCTTTTTTCAAGATTAAATATCTCTGAGGGGATCTCATGCGTAGTCATTAATTTCTCTTCACAGTGAGAAGAGTTGAGGAAAGGAGGGTACAACCCTGTTCTATGGAGAATGTTGTTCAAACAGGTCCTGAGTTTCCTAACTTGAAGAGGTTTTGACTTATTCTAATTGGATAATTAAGGGGGGGAGGAATACAAAGAATTGAGCCCTTTTTTATTTAGCTGGTAATGTGTGTGTGTCTTTCTTTCATTCATGCATGTTGGGTTTAACTTCTTTATTTATTTCAACATACTGAGCCAAATGCTTAGCCTTTTACTATTGGGCGTGTGGGAAGAGGGCAGAACAACTATATATCTGTAATTGGAAGTGTATGTCTTCCTCTCGTTTTAAATATGCTCACTTGTGTTTGGAGTTGACTGCGAACACTCTGGAATGTGCCTTAATTAAGAAGTAACCAGGGATTTATTTTTTTTAAGTCAATCAAACGTTAGGTGCATTTTGAACCAATATGTCTGTTCAGGTATTTCTTATAGTGGGCATACATCTTGTTATAGTAATTGACTTGGGTTGTTCTACAACCCTTTCACCTAAGTATTTGGGGAGGAATCCATACTGTGCATGGAGCATTTCCCTGAACCCTGATAGCAAGCAGCCCCAGAAGAAATGAGTGGGCTGGGGTCAGTTAGGGAAGCAAGAGTATTGAATGCACACACTAGCACCACAGCCTAGCTCAGACATACTTTTTCTTTGCAGTGGTGGTGCAGTGCACCCATATATACCCAAGACATTTGCATCCGCACCATACATTCAAAGCACCATTACACTACTTGGAACAGACGGGGAGAACCCCAAGAACTGTATCAGAGAATCAGAAAATTGTAGAGTTGGAAGGGACTCCGGGGATAATCTTGTCCAACCCCCTGCGATGCAAGTCCGCAGCTCTCCCATACGGGGATCGAACCTGCAATCTTGGCGTCATCAGAACCACGCTCTAACCAAACTGAACTATCCAGGCTGACTGTAGTTCAAGGGTTTGGGGAAACTAGCTCTGTGAGGCCAGCACCCTTCACAAAACTACAGTTCCCAGTCCATGTCTGTTAAAGAGGTATGATACTATTTTATTTTATTTTTTAATCATATTTATTAAAGTTTCCAAAATACAAAAAATAAAAATAAAACAAAAATAAAGTACATTTAAAACCTTACTTTCATTACCCACTTTTTGGGACTCCCCCCTCCCCCATCCCTACCATATTCCCCTTTCATAACGTTAGTTCTACAAGCTCTCACTTCCAATTTAAAATTTAATTTGTTTAACCCAATATTCAAATTTAAATTTATACAATCGTCATCATTACCTTAAATAAAAATCAAAAATTCTCTTCCCAAGGTCCACCCCATTTTCCTTCCCCGAGTTCCCTTTTTTTTAATAAAAACACCCCAACAAAATGTAAAAACTATATAGAAATGTAAAAGATAACAAGTATATAAAAAGAAAAGTTCAGCAAATAATTACCCAGCCTTTGGATTCTAAAGAGGTATGATACTATTTTAAATGTATGGTGTGAATATGGTATCGTTTATGAGGAAGAAATACCAGTAATTCACTTTCCAAGTAATATGAACCAGGCCTTGGAACCTAGCTGTATGCATCAGTATGGTGGGTTTTTTAAAAGTTATGGAAAATAGTGCCTCCCTATTATTTTAATGTATCCAGTAGTTAAGGAAACTAAAAAAAAACCAACCAACCCATGCCTTTTGTTGAAATAACCAGTCTTTTAGCTCTGCGAGAGCTACTGGGATGCCCACCCTCCAGATATAAAATTGCTCTTTCTGGAAATTTCTAGTCTTTCTTCCTCAGAAAGCAGGTATGTAGGTTACATATTGCAAGCTGGAAACACAATAGTTTTTAAGAGACTTAAATATTAAGCACATAAGAAGGATCGTGCTGGATCAGGCCAGTGGTTCATCTAGTGCAGTATCCTGCGCTCACAGGATACGTGTGGGGAAAAACTAAAGCATGTTGTTTGCGAAACACTTTGCTTCCCACAGCATAAGCACATATTCTTTTTGTCCCACTGTTCTACCTGCTTAGGTCAGTTTTTTGGGGTTTGGGGAGTGATAGAGGCACCCACCCCCCCAAAAAAAATTTAAAGCATGGTAAAATTGGGCAGAGCATGCACACACCTCTTTCACACTGCCTTTAACTCTCAGAATAAATTGCCATCTCTCTCCGGCTTCACTGGACTTTGGAAGGCATTTAAAAACCCTGTCCAAATCTGGTCTAGGATGTCGTTAGGGGGAGTGGGCACATTCGTACTATGCAAGCAACTTTTAAGTTGCACATCATAAATAGCTTTGTTGTGTGTTTTTTTCTTATTTGTGTGAAGATCGGGGGGGGGGGTCATAGAAACCACATTGAATTACCTGAGAATACGTTTTAGCGCTCTCAGCTTCAAAGGTTTTGACGAAAGTGCCTTTAAAATATGTTCATAGCAAGGGGGGGCGTGGCAGGGGGAGGAATTGCTCCACAGAGCAGCATTTGATAAATTAGCATTGCTGTGGCTTGGTGACTTATTTTTTTGCAAGAAACTACATTAAAGACATTGTAAACAATAAAAGTTGGTGTTTTTAATTCGACGGAATGTTTCTGCTCTTATATTTTCAATCCTTTGGTGGTTCTTCTCCCTTAGCTCCCAATCCACATATGTTAAAACATAACTTTGTTTTTAAAATTATGGAGCTTCAGAGAACATGGGGCCATGGTCAGGCATTTACTCAGAAGTGAATCTCCGTTGGGAAACCAGTGCTTGCCATTCCAGGATTAGCAGTTCCCATTTAAATTAAGCCCTCTACTGAAATTAAGGGAAACTATTGTAATAATATTTTTTTATTAGGTTTTCAGTTGCAATCCAATAATAGCCTCATTATAACAACATCAGTTTATTGTACAGTTATTAATACCAATAGTTCAAATACTGAATTACATAATTAGATAAAGTTTCCCCCCCCCCCACATGCTAGATTTAATGAATTGAAATTAAGGAAAACTCTTGTTGCCACTGCAGTAGGACTCTTTCTGTCACCACCTGCAGAAGTCCGTGGTCATGTATTGAGGAGTCCATGTTGCAGCTCCTTTCCCTCCCCAGCGCTGGGGCACCATTTTGGATTGGTTTTTTAGAGGTAAGAGAAGATTTAACATGTTCAAAGGCCAACTCTTTAATTTTTTGAGATGAAAATGGCCAAAAATTAGTGTGCGGTGAGACCGTTGCTTGTTGATTCTTTCTGTCTGGTAAAAGGTAAAAAGTAAAGGACTCCTGGACAGTTAAGTCCAGTCAAAGGCTGGAATTGCGGGGCTCATCTCGTTTTCAGGCCAAGAGACCCGGCGTTTGTCCACAGACAGCTTTCAGGGTCATGTGGCCAGCAGGACTAAACCGCTTCTGGCACACGGAACACCGTGACGGGAACCAGAGCGCATGGAAGCGCCGTTTACCTTCCCACCACAGCGATACTTAATTATCTACTTGCACTGGCATGCTTTTGAACTGCTAGGTTGGCAGGAGCTGGGACAGAGCAATGGGAGTTCATTCTTGTCAGGGGGATTCAAACCGCTGACCTTCTGATCGGCAAGCCCAAGAGGCTCGGTGGTTTAGACCACAGCACCACCCATGTCTATCTGGTGTAGTAAGATGGTCCACAAAGGATGGTCAACTCTCTCCTTTCCACCTTCTAACCTCTCTCCTCTCATGGAATCATAGACTTGGAAGGATTATCTAGTCCAACTCCCTGCAGTGCAGCAATCTCCACCAGATCGTCCATGACAGCTGACCATGCAACCTCTGCTTAAAAACCTCCAAGAAAGGAGACTCCCCAACCTCCCAAGGGAGTCCGTTCCACTGCCTTAATAGCTCTTAGTGTCAGAACTTCCTAATGTTTAGCCGAAGTCGTGGGCCACATTCCCTTGAGAAAAATCTGTTCAGGTGTTCCTGGGTCTGAGAAGGTTGGTCGCTCCTCTCCTCTGTGGGTGTGCAAATGCTTCACCTGTGCCTTCTGCGTGTTTATAACTTTTGATCACCCAGCTGTGATAACTGTTCAGCTCCAGGTTCCTAACATTAATTAACTAGGCCTGCTTTGTTGTGCACTTGAACAGAGCTCCTGGCCTCCGTAAATCTTGACTTCGTACGCAATTCATATTTAAAGCACCGTACTTCCTCCCCACAAGGTTTCGTAAGAACTAGAGTTCCTTAAGAGTGCTGGCGATTGTAGCTCTGTGTAGACTACAGTTCCCAGAATTACTCTTTTTAGGAGGGAAGTAATGAGATTTAAAGTGCTTTAAATATGGGGTGCCTATGCAGTGGCAGAGAGCAGACGGGGGCGGGGCTGGCGCGTGTCCTGGGGGCGTGGTGCGCTGCCCACAGGGCCCGGCATGCTGCCTTCAGGGGCATGGTGCCCAGCATGGGCAGGGGGGCAGCTGTGATGGCACCCCACTGGGATCGCGCTGCCAGGGGCGGTGCGCTCCCCCCGCACTACTCCTCCTCTGCCACTGTGCCTATGCAGCCCTTATAGAAGAGTTTAAAGAAGAAGAGTTTGGATTTGATATCCCGCTTTATCGCTACCCTAAGGACTCTCAAAGCGGCTAACATTCTCCTTTCCCTTCCTCCCCCACAACAAACACTCTGTGAGGTGAGTGAGGCTGAGAGACTTCAGAGAAGTGTGACTGGCCAAAGGTCACCCAGCAGCTGCATGTGGAGGAGCGGAGACGCGAACCCGGTTCACCAGATTACGAGTCTACCGCTCTTAACCACTACACCACACTAGCTAATGGGGCTTCCTGCTGCCGCCACGCTGCCGGAGCACGATTTTCGTTCTCATCCTGAAGCAAAGTTCTTAACCTGAAGCACTATTTCTGGGTTAGCGGAGTCTGTAACCTGAAGCGTATATAACCCGAGGTGCCACTGTATCAACTTTTTCAGGACTTGTACAGAATTGTGGGCGTATGTGCAGCTCTGGCTATAAACCAGCAGCATGGGAAAGCACTGAAAAGGATGAGTTATACAAAAACATCTTTCATAAGGTTAATGGTAATGTTGATAGAATTCTACAGTGGTGCCTCGCAAGACGAAAAGAATCCGCTCTGTGATTCTCTTCGTCTAGCGGTTTTTTCGTCTTGCGAAGCAAGCCCATTGACGGATTAGCGGATTAACGCTATTAGCGCTTTTAGCGGCTTTTAGCGGCTTATCTGCTGATTGGATTAGCTGATAAGCGGCTTAGCGGCTTAGAAAAAGGGGGGAAGTTAAAAAAACCAGCAGGAACTCGCAAGACATTGTCATCTTGCGAAGCAAGCCCATACGAAATTCGTTTTGCGAAGCACCTCCAAAACGGAAAACTCTTTCGTCTAGCGAGTTTTCCATCTTGCGAGGCATTTGTCTTGCGGGGCACCACTGTAAAGCAAAAATGCATCATAAGAGCTATTCAGGCCCTAGCACTAAGGGTATGGGATCTCCTGTTTGTAAGGACCATGTTTTTCAGATTATACTAAACCACAGGCCCAGGCAGCAGAAGCCAGGACTTCCTTCTCCAGAAGTGCTGGTAGACGAGCAAAGAATAAAATTTGAAAACGGGCTGCAGGCCTGTGGCCTGTGCCACTACCGCATTGCTGAAGGGGAAGAACAGTACTTTCCCACAATATGCAGCAATTTTGCCCTGAGAGGGGGAATTCCTTCCATCCTAACTACCAATATAGCAAGTACTTAAGATTTTGAGGATAAAACCAAGTGCCAGAAGATTGCTATCTGGTCCTCAGCTGTGTATTACCTACTGTAACAAAGCGAGACATACATATTTAGTAAGCAAAGCTGAGCACATTTTCCCCTCTTCAAAGGTTTCCATGACACTGAATGGTCTTTTGGGAGCCTGCCTAAACACAGGAACTTTCATCCTCAGTAAGACCACAGTTCCCTCTATAAACTCAGCATTCTTTCCAACTGTGGCCAGCCAGAGGTTTCTGAGCATCTTTCAAACCCAAACATGGAGCCAACATCCTTGCCCTGTTAGAGACTTTGAAGAGGAAGGCTTCATTTCGCTGTCATGTTTAGTAGCAAGCCTAAGGCTTTAAAAGTAAGAATCAGCATACAGATTTGGATCTAAAATTCCAGGGTCCCAAACTCCTGCACTACTCACTGCACCCATGAAGAGGCAAGCAGTAGCATTCTGCGTGAAATACAGCTTTGAAACAGTCTTTGAGGGCAGCTCAACATGCAGCAAAAAGCGACAATCACATTCTCGTTGGTTTTACCTGCATGCAAATGGGAAGCTGTGGTCACATTCAGATTCCCCAGCCTGCGGCCTTCAGTATGTTGCTGTATCTTCTTTTTTTAAAAAAGATATGCCAAATGGCTTCTGGATGCATCTTGCACTGTTAGCAAAGTCTAAGAATTGTTGGTTGATTAACCTATGGAACTATTAATTAGGCTCTTTCCGTCTATTCTGGAGCTCTATCACTATGCATTAGGTGGGTGATCTTGTGTCTTCCATCTTGGGTTGCTGTATCTACGCAAAAGACATATTTGAGGATGCATGCCGTGGGCATTGTTGGTGATCAATTATGCGTAGAAGCCACTAGCGACGACACACATTGTGCTGGCGCACAGTACACGCACACACACACACACACACACACGTATTTTATTCCTCCCTGTAACTGGCTGATGACATTCAAATAAAATGTGCCAAAAGCTCAGTTTGTGGCTGTTCTAGGAACTGGAGAAACGTGATGAATACGCCGAAAGTTACTTTATTTTAAAAATTTCTATAATGTTATTCATTTTTTAAAACCCCACCGAACTTTAATAAAGAAGGTAAACAAAAAGGTACTTATTAGTAAGAAAAGCCATCTTTAATATTTCCCTGTTCTTTCCCTGTTAAAATAGGGCACTTAGAAACATATAGCTAAAGGCAGTTTAAAATGGGTCCATTAAGTCTCAGCCCAGTCAAATAAGATTTACCATTGTTTGATTAAAGCATCCAGTAAATTTATCAGTGAAACCAATTATAGCTTGCGGCTCTAGGAATAAGTACTGTATGAGACTCTTACACAGAGCAGGAGATAAAGCGGTTTAGAGGAACATGGTCACTGACGCAAGACACAGTCTGCACAAACAAGAAGAACTTTGTTTGTCTAGTTGCACATAATGTTTGCAGATGTCAGGAACTGTCACCTGTGGACCTCCAAATGAGAACATATGGAGCAAAGTCTTGGCTGTAAAGAAGAAGTTTTTCTACTGTGCAACTGAGCAGAAAATTATTAGGATTATTGCCAGCCACTTAAATATCTCACTTAATGACTTGAAATCTATTAGGTTTGGCAGAGACACGGAGATCTGGATCCAAGAAGTAAATCAGAGCATATTAGTGGCAGATAAAAGAACGTTTTTGGTTATTTGTGACATAATCAGACAGTGATCCTTGTCAGAAGTTATGCATGCTATTCTGTCCATGGAAGCCTGCATACAGTAACTCTTCTATAAGATCAGTAGGAACTTTTGCAAGCAGAAGTATATTAGTAGTAGTAGTAGACCACCCAATACCCCTAGATCTCAGGGTGGTTCATATTTTTCTGTGACAATAACCAGATTTCA